CAACATCCTCGACTCTACCCGCCTTCGGTGCCGATACGACACAAACTAAGACCCCCGGCTGCCCGGCTAACTGCTATCCTTAGACGATTGCTTCACACTAACTACCTATAGCTATTCTAACCTGCACTAATCTGGTTGATCTGGCTGATTATCCCTTTCCCGCGCTTGTTGCCGCTTTTGCCGCATCGCCGTCCTGCCTCTATCTTTCCCGCTGCTGTTGGCGGGGGCCAATTTCGTTTGATTCGTGCCCGCCGTGACCATGGGATTTCGCATACATCTGCAAGTTTGAGCGGCCGGTGAAAAGGGGTTGGCTATACGGGATATCCCACATCTCAGCTTACTCCCTCCGGTCTTTTGAAATAAGCAAAAATCGGCGATCCGTTGCGACAGAAGGGTCGCCTTGCCTAAGTACCTAGCATGCATTACATTGCCTAGCATATCGGTCACTTTCAGACGTACATCTTACTTCAGCCCGTAATCCGATTCATCTCATATCCGCGCGCACGCTCGATGAATCCCATCAGGGTATTATCGCAAAAATTGAGATGAAATCCAGGCCTCGTCGATCAGGACCGCGGCTTTCCTTCGGCGGATGACACGTACAACCGCGACATGGATTGAATTTCCAATCGATTGCGCCATGTCCACATGCGTGGGGGCATTTTTGGAAGGTCGGTGGGACCTCTGTTTGCCGACGTCCTGCTCCGGCTTGCCAGAAATTGAACTAGCATCGTATTTTTGTTTCTCCTGGGAACTTCGGTTCAAAGTACCAAGCTATAACGGTCCACGGTCCACGGCAGAAGCACTAGGAATTACTAGCTTCTGATCTAGCGTCAGAGAAGATGCATTGCAGCTGGCGGTGCGTCGACAGCATGTAGGGATAGGATGCCAGTTCCTTCCGTCGAACAAGATATACATAGCTTGCTGAGCCGTAATCAATCACGCACACATTTGGCGCAAGTGCACGAGGTACACATGTAACAATCCCTGCCATCTACGTGGATGTCGTGCAATAACCTATATGGCGGAAAACGCCCTTTGTCATGCAAATCCCTCGGTTACGATTACGGTTGCAGGACAGTTAGAAACTAAATCGGACAAGAACACCTTCCACACAAAGGCCGACGCCACAGTAACGGGAAGAACGCCTAACAAGGGTTCTCCTAGCCTTGCTAAATCCCGGGTCCCCAGAAACTTGAATGCCCAGCCTGCAAGACGGCCGCTTGCGAGATGCCGCGTACCTTGGCATCTAACCGCCAAGAGAGCCGCATCTTGAACTAAAGCGCACATTTAGACCTACATGGCATATATATCTCAATCAAAGACCCAGGGCTGGCCTTGAAACAAGACGGTCACTATCTGCGAAGCTCGCCAACGAATAATTCCCAATAAACCGTTACGATACGGTTCTACGACATGTAGGCTTCTAGAACTCATGCTGTGCTTCACTGCGGGATTTCAACGTAGATGGGCTATATGTGCGTGAGATCCTCGGGCCTATGATAAGCGTGGCGAAACGTCTTTGCTGGTGTGGGCGGGAACGGGCGACTCAGTAAGTAATTGCGAGTGTGACCTGTTTCTTGGGTGGGATATGGAATCTCGACCTAGGTCTATAGGAATTTGTCGCTGAAGTCTTTGGTACTTCCTCGAGACTTCGTTGAACCCCTACCACACCATGCCGTTACCCGACATCAACCACGGTACACATCTGCCCTACCCGATTTTACGCCAGAACCTCCCTTACCGATTATAATATCTTGTGATTGGGCTGAGCTATAATAGTATAATATCCTTCGAAAATTCTTCTACTGCTTCGAAGAAGGTGGGTGTCATGCGCGGCAATGATATGTATGCTGTGTATGTGCGTGTTTGTGTCGGTGTGCAACATGATATGTCGTCTTCCCTCTTTCGAGCTGCACGCATCGGGGCTTTGTAAGTTTCTGGGGGATCTCCTTTACCACATTCCTGGCCCCCCTTCTCCGAGACGTGTCCTGCCATGTCACCTCATGCAGAGCTACCATAGCAGCACCACCTACCATCTACGTAGGTACATTCTAGATATTCCCAAATTTATATCATATACAATAGATTACAGACGTACATTGCATCGCATAGAGTACCTACATGTGGCCTGGATTGTGCAGGACAGGACAGGTAGATCATTATAGGTGAATACTTATTCGTCATAGCAATCTATTTGTGTGGTAAATAAGGCACGTATTAATGCTCATCTGCCATGTCGCGCAACCTCCTATCGTTACACGCGAAAAGCTTGTTCGATCTTGGCTACTCCCGGTGACGTTGGGCTTGTCTGGCGTCTATGCGCCTCTGCTTCGTGATGTTAGGGACGGCACGGGGATTGTTTGCTTAGGGGCGTCGGGTTTTGGAGCCTCTTCTCCTTGCCGCTGCCACGGTGATACGACGATGTCTATGCTACGATGCCCGAACGCGCCTCCTAGATTTGCTGCTCTTTTCTAGATCACGACGAAGGCCTCAGCATCTGCAAATACGACGGCCAGGCCTCACGCATCGGTAGATGGGGTGGGGGCTATGTGGGAGAGGCAGAGAGAAGGGCTTCATCGTAGGATTGGCATGTGGATGTGGGGATGAATGGACGGATATGACGCATAGGGGGACAACAGTCGACGGTTTTTGCCGTCGGGATTAGTCGCGCGGTTTGTTTGTTGAGGACAGGTACACGAGAACGCTGACATAACGAGATCTCGGAATAGGCATGCCGAGACTTCCCATCGCCCATCTGAGATCTCCCGGTCCTTGCACGGGCGGAAATTTTGTCCAGGACAAGTGGCGGGATATGGTCGCGCGTCATGCTACGTGGAGATCAGGGACCCCTTACTTCGCGTCTGCTGCTCGTGCTGTTTGCGGGAAGATGCGGTGAGCGTATCGTCGCTGTGGCTAGATCTTCGCGTTACTGGGATGCCGAGATGACCCGGTGGCATTGAGGGCTCGGGTGTTGCCGGACACGGATGGGGTGTCCGGTTCGTCCCGGTAAGGGGGCCCCTTCCGTGTCATTCCGGGGGTTCCTTCCTTAGACGGGGTCAGGAAGCCGGATTAGGTTGACTTCAACCGGCGGGTGGACACGGGGCAGGTACGGAGTAGAACAACGTCAGGCCGTGGTCACTATGGCCAAGTGCGGACCTTGGTTGAACATCTATGGATGGTTGATAGTCAGCTAAGTGATAACGAGTGAACAGCTGTGGTCACATTATGCCTTCCACCATTGGATGGTACGCAATTTGTCTATCCATTCTCCCGAGTTGACTTCGGAGATTTACTAAGACCTTCTTTCAATGGGACGATAATAATGTTTAATCAATGGATCCGCTTCGTATAACAAAGTAAGATTGTTTTCATCACGGTGAGATCTATCATAAGTATCATGATGTTGTAGTCTTACCCCTGAAATATCCGTTCGTAATACTGTCTATTGGGCTACATTTGTCACATCATCTCGGCAGCCTCACCATCGCACAGTGGGCAATTGTGATCAACGAAGTCATACCCAAATTCCCTATAAGATATTCCCGTCATGATTTAGACCCTAGTGAATGCTCAGCATGGCTCTATTCGTTAACCTTCTTGGCGAGGAGCTTTGTCATACAGATAGTTTATGTATCAGTAGTTATTTAATCTATCGTTCCTGAGTTAGTTCCTGCGAGACACCATTGGAAATTGAGGATCAATTGACACTTATTCTCCGAGTAAAGAAACATAGGTAAGATCTCCAAGCTTTGGTGTTTTACCTGAAAGGGGGATTGAGGTTACATTGATAAATAGGTAAGGGAGGACATGAAAAGGGGTAACACCAAGCTCATGGCTTAACCAATTCCCAAGAAGGCAAAGAAGTCTACAAATACTGAATACGGGCCAATTCTAACTCTGATAGTTACATTAAAGGACACAGATAACTACTGTCTAATAGATGAAGATGTCAAAGCACTAGGTAGGACCTGCTGAAAAGTACCCACTTTTCGATGGTTGGTCCGACTTCCGTCCAGCCGAAGAAATCCCTCTTCCGAGCCTCGCAGCCATCTGCATATATCTATTCTAAAACAAAAACGTCCACCAATAAGATACTTTGACTTTGAGAGTTTCTGACGGTCCCATAGCTCAGTTGGTTAGAGCGTCGTACTAATATATTCCTGATTCCTAATAGGATATATTGAGTAATGCGAAGGCCGAGAGTTCAAGCCTCTCTGGGACCATTGCTTTTTTACTTTTGCTTTTCAAAATCTGAGCACATTTTCTGATGTCGATTTTGACACTGGAAAATATTCGAGAGAATCGTGCACGACTGCGGTCTTCTAGCAAACTTTTTTTCGGTCGCATATCCCCCTGAATCTTTTAACCTCTAGTACTAGAGGTTTGCGATAGAGTATCAATTAACAGAGAATTTTCTTAGACTACCGGAACGTAGGGCATAAGTTAGCGAAATAAGACATTTCCGCCATGTTCTTTATAGCTAGGCATGCTGATTTATCGGCATTTGCAAATGGAAAGTCTTCGCGAGGGGAAGGGAGGAATGATTATTATTACTTCTTGTGCTACAGAAGCCTGATATGTGTGGGTACCTATATTCCTGCGTGCTAGGGGATGTGTGTACAATTTGGGACATTAGAGAGGTTGCTTCGATACAGGCATGGAGAGAATATGCATTCATGGACTAATTGACAAGTAAATGCTATCTTACGTCGGAAGCAAACTGCTGCATCGACAGACAGGTAGGTACCCAAGGTCCCAAGCTGCCAAGCCACACCGGTATCCGACCGCATTGACGGAAGGCAGCTGACGTTTCCATGATCTGCTCTAGAGTCTAGACTCTATCTTGTGGTACCCAGTATAATCTGATATCTTTTTAGGACTTCGTTGATCTTGCCTGCTGACATAGCTACCCACTTCTGCCGCACAAAAGCCGTTGGAATGTGTGAACGCACTCTTCGACGAACCTAAGCAACCAAGACTTCCATCAACAACAAGCTGGCTCAATGGTCTAGTGGTAGGATACTCGCTTCGGGTCAAGTCTCATCCGATCTCACGACGGAGTCATAGACGGGAAATCCAATCTCAGAGAACGAGATCTTGTGAGTGGTCCCGGGTTCAAATCCCGGTTGAGCCCGTCTTCATTTTTGCTGATGCTCTCGCCAACTTGGTGGAGTTCGGGAGGCTATTCGGACTCCATTTGGTCACTCGGGAATGGCTACAGGTAGTGTGGACCTAGTGGTGACAAATTCTTTTTGTATGGGCCACTTATAGACGGACACTCGGCACATATGGGTCATTTGAATGAGCAGTGTTATGACGATACTCGCCGGTATCGGCAATAGATACGGAATGTGATCCAATTGATCAGGTACGGGTTTGGACACGAATATGGATTGTCAGAAATGTAGCTTAACGGGGATTGTGGTTAATATCTGGGTAGAAGAGAGATGTGGGGATTGAGTCTTCACTAGAATGAAAGGGGTATCGAATGAGCTGAAGTGAAGGTTTTCGGGTGTGATTAATGTTTGAGAATGAGTGTCTTGGAGTGTCTTGGATATAGAACGTGTCAATAAAATAGGGGCAATTGCATAGCGAGTTGTGGAAGGAAATTGATACTTTCTGAATATACATAGATTGGATAGCTAATAAGTACCTGCTAGGAAAACTTATCTGTGTCTTCGTAGACTAATGTTAACGAAAGACGTCTCTTCGAGAGGCTACCCCTTTCCAACCCCTAAATAGTTCCCTCACCCTTCCTATTCTCCCATGATTTCAAACCTTTAGCTAAACCACCAACGACGTTCTCTGCCCACTTTGCCGCCTCCCCAACACGTCCATTCGTAGCATCCTCTGCAAAACTGACTCTACCATACCACCAATCCAACCATGTCTCAGCGCGGGCACCCTCAGGAGCGTCCAGCAGCCCGACACTCACGTCGATGATCCCCGGACGCCAGCGGTCATGCCAAAAAACAGTAGCGCCGCAGCCAGGGCAAAACTCGCGTAGAACACCAGGCGAACTCTCGTAGCTCTGGAGAATGCCTTTCGGAAGCGTAGCGAAGTCAAGCGGAACGAGCGTGTTCACCGAGGTCGTATCAGACGTAGCGTCAGAAGAGGGAGGAACGAAGAAGATATTGGTCCTGGGCACAAACGCCCACGTTTGAACCTCGAAGCCGGAAGTTAGACGACATGAGCGACAAGCACATGTACCCGTCATATACTTGATCGGGTTCGCGGATTCCGGGGGTCGGAGCCACCATTTCTCGTTTTGGGGGTTACTAACGACTTCACGTGGAGAGGAGGCGAACGGGATCATTAGATCCGGGAAGCCGGAGTGTGGGATCAGGCTCGAGGCGTCGGGGCGCGTGATGCGGAACCGGACTGTTTCGCAGCGGCAGCGGGCTTCGAGGAATTCCTTTTCTTCTCTTGCTTTGCTTATCGTGGAGATCGACGGAGAGTCGTCGCTGTGCCCATAAACCCTCGGTCTATGCGGACTCCTGACGTCTGTTATGAACGGAGACAATCCGCCGTCCTTAGTGCCGGCGACGTTCACGTGTCCGGCAAACTCTAACAAGAGATGCTCCTTCCCACCGTCCATCTCTCCCGTCTCCCGGTCCGTTCCTTCCTTAGTTCCGGCTCGTCCGATGATGACACCCGTAGCTACGGTCCATAGCCCACCGGATTCTGCCTGCGATGCGGCAGAATCTTCTCTCTGGAAGATATGACATCCGCAGGTGTTGCAGAAATAACGTCGGACATGTGCGGTTTTATCGGTGTAAACTACTAGACCATTGACAGACTGTGGTGCTTGGATAGGAGCATACGAAACGTACAGGAGACCGCTGGAATGCCGGCACGCATAGCAGTGACAAAAGCTAATACCTAGTTGCCCTGACGTCGTTTGTTCGTGTTGAAGCAACGAGGTTACCACTTGCTTTGCAGCACCGCAGAGACAAGATATCGATATATCAGAGGTTTTTGAAGACATTGGGGAATTTTGTAGACGAGCTCCTCATTTAGAACAGGTTGTCTTGCTCCGTAGAATATTTTCTCAGCCTCTATCTACCTAGTAATCAAGTAAGCTCCCTTTAGCATTGCATTCAATTAATATTGAATTCGGTGCAAATCGATGGGAACATGCGTTGTACATATATCCGGATGCTGAAGGTCAGTTGCCTCGATTAGGAGCCAGAGTTGTAACCTACCTACGCACTTAGTATGGCGGAACTTCGGCCCGTCGAATTCAAGCTATTGCAATTGGAAACGTTCAACGATCCTTTTGGTTGCGGTACAGCGACGACCAAATGACGACCAAATTTTACATCGCTTTGGCATTAGAAAGACATGCCAATTCATGGGACATAGACCAATGATGTAAATCTTCAGATTAAAGGAAACAGGCTGTGATCAGCAGATGTAACTGACATAATTTTGTCTCCGCGAGGCCTCACGCCAATACCCTCCTCTACTTTTCCTTGTTTGCATTCCACATTTCCCAAGATTTTTTTCCCCTCCATGATCTTCATTAATAGTGGTGGTATACATGAGTCTAGGGCACGCCGTCCAACCCGCCGGATGCTTTAAGCATTTAGAAACAAACACCAGTGGAGATTTTCTTCGTCAGGATTTGATGATGTGATGACGAGTCAAGTCAAATTAGAAACTTGAACAATGGGTCGGGCCGCTCAAACAGTTGCCTCGTTGCCCTCGCTAGCTGGCTTAGGAACTGACCGTTCTGCCTCCTTCTCGCCGTCCTTACTTGATGACGCTTCCTTGGGAATAGGGTCATCCTGAACTAACTTCTTAGTCTCCTGGTTAGCACCCTCCACATCTGGGTGTGGCGGTGCTACACCCGCAGCGGCTAACTCTTCTACCGGCACTTCTACCTCGTTGCCGTCGGCGTCAACTACGCGAGTTCTAGTCTCGTATTTGGTTTTGAATTCGACCTTGCCTTCGAGAGCCTTAACTTGCTCTTCGTTAAGAAGGTTTCCATTCTGGTCTCGGTATTCGACTCGCTCTTCTCGTCCTATTACCTTTTGACCCTGAGGCTCGAACTTGGGTGCCCCTGAGATACCTGCTTCCGGAGAGTCTTGGTTGTTTCCGGCTACGGGTTGTTGGACCGGTGGCTTCTTGTTCTCTACGACAGTTTGGGGAGTTTGAGAGATTTTGCTTGGAATGGCGATTCCAGAGTATTGGTCATACTATAAGGCCCAAATTAGCTTGTTATTCGACGCATTGCAAACCCTTTGTTAAACGCGTCATATATAAGTTCAATCGTCTAAATGGGGCACTGGAACATACGCGCGTCGTCGGGCTTTAATGCCCTCTGGATGGCATGCCTTGGGGAGGGACACTTACGTTCTCTAAGAAAGTATTGCAATCCCAATCCCAGGTACCGAATAGCTTTACGCGGTTGCACTCGCCCTTGGTCCAGGCATTTCCATACGCGAGGGGTGAGTAGAGAGCAAAGACAACTGCAGAGACGGCCAAGAGCGCGACTGCACCGGCCTTGTTGACGACGGGGTTTTCTCTAACACCCGGAATTGAAATTCGAGCTGTCGCGAAGTCGTAGGTTTGGCAAAACGCCATGATGGCGAAGATCAAGGCCGGGAAATAATGGTGCAAAAAGAGCTGACGCTGCATTAGGAAGAATGGGAAATAGTGGAAAGCCCATCCGAGGACTAACGTTCCAATTTCATAATCGAAGCGCTTGAAGGTGGCATTGGAATAGTCGTTGCAACTGCGCTGCCATCGAAGAATCGCAATGCCCTTGAAGAGCACGTAGATAACAACTGCAAGGGTCGAAGTGTACCAGATGATAGGGTTGCCAATTAAGTAAATCTGGCGATGCTCCTTACCCCAAAAGTTGATACCGCGACGAAGGATAGGCCAGGACTCTGGACGAGAGTCCCAGGCGTGAGACTCGACCAGACCCGCATTGGTTCTCCACATGACCTTCTGCAGTTCCCAGAATTTGCCAAAAAAGCCGGGGTTAACGTAGTTTACCTTCTCGGCGCTATCGGCAAGCCCAGGGTGTGTGTTGGACTCGATGTACCATAAACTGTTGGGAAGGGTACCACCTTTGGCACATGTAACTTCCTGCTGTTCGGACGCCCACTCTGGCAACTTCACCTTGTGAGAGAAAAGCACACAGCCGGTCATGATATGAACGAGCCTGAACTTAGTCTGGATAGTACGAAGTCGTTCCTTGGAGACCGGCGTAAGAGACTGCTTCTTAGCAATCTCAACACGGAACAGATCATTAGCATCACCGGGGAACCCCTCGTATCCGTAGGCGGACACTTCATTTTGCCAATCGGCCTCGGTAACAGGTGGTCGAACATCGTGGGAGTGAAGGCGACGGTGGGTGGCTAGGTGGTATAGTCGGATTACGTCACCATCTTTGATATAATTCTCAGTAATGTTCTTTACGTTATCCCAAGCAAATGTTCCGTTGATGGGTTCTCCGTTAACATCTAATGGCTGGGTCTGATTCTCGAGTAAGAAAATATTATTCTCATCCTTGTGGGGATAGAGAGTAATTTGCTGTTGCTGACTGCCTGTCGGGTACATTAGGGGGTGAGAATGGAGGTAACCTCCCTGGGTATTGACATGTCGGATGGCGACACGGCTTCCAAAAGCAATGTCGACCGGCACATCTTGCATACCCTTGTTATTCAGCGTAGCCTGAAACTCCGAGCTCATGAACCCATCCCCGTCACCAGGGTTTACCAAGCAAAGGAAGTGGATAGCAAACATGGCCATGTAGAAGGTAGCGGGGATGATAATCAAGCAAAAAGCGCGGGCCATGAAGTGCTTCGCGAAGATACGCATGGTGACAGTCTTCGTGTCACCAAGCAACACCCACAGTTGTACGAGGGTCAAAGATCCAATCCAGGCGATTGTGAAGAGACCGACCCATTTGATGCTGACAGTAATCCCCATCCCCAAGCCAGTCATGACAAGCCAGAACCACCAGCTGGCGTCAAATGCCTTGGAGGGACCTTGCTCATGTTGGTTGGTAAAGGAGGTGAAAGCTAGGGCAGTAAACGCGGTCGCAGCAACGAGAGGAGAGTCGAGTAGGATTAGTCGCGCTTGGGTAAGGAGACCGTTCTCTGCATTACTTATAAGTAT